ATTATATGGAAATCATAACATTATTAGTCAAAAGTAGGTGTTACATTGTACAGTGGCATTAAATGCCGTAATGTGCACCTCCGCCTACCACTTCGGGCTAGCTAGCTTAAAATATTTAGCATTTGTGACTTAATATTAAACCTAAACACAAAGACTTAAGAAACACTTCTCAATAATATTAACATTTCATAATGTCTATTGGACACACGAACAAAAGAATCAGGAAGTATGTATCTAGCATTAAAAAAAGACAGCACCCGTAAAGGTTGCACGTGCTATCTTCAAGTTGGGCTTATTTGTATCTTCATTTATCTCCATCAGAGATCCTTTTCTATCCATCGAAATTGTATCCATAATACTGGTATGATAATAATTTAAAGGTTCTGGAGGTTGAGTGAAATATTAATTTAATTTTATACATAGCTTGCTTCTGCCCGCGACTATGTACGCGCATTCCCATTTTCTTCCGTTCCCGTAGGATTTTTGGGATTTTTTTCTGTCATAAGAACCTTCTCCTGACGATAACAAACACAACAAAAAATAAGAAATCAGCCAAATTGGTAGCCGTTCTCAAGTTATGGCGTAACAACGGGAAACGGGTTTCATTTTTATGTATACATATACTAGCGGACCCGACAGACGTTGTCCTGCATATGTATCAAAGGAAAGACCAATATAACATTCATTATTATTGTTAGTTTAGTATATATGTCCTAGACACTGACTGCGTCGCGGAGAACCTAACGGGTAACCGGGGCTCCGGCTCGACGTGCAGGAGAAGGAACGGGGTGGTTTTTAGTCAGTAAGAGTCTGACACTCCCTTCCGCCTCACCCAGGCGGGAGCAGTCATTCGATGATTTTCCCCCCTTAAAAAAAAAAAGACACTGACTGCAGCGCCATCTGCCGGGCTGATTTGTGAATCTAAACCATCTAGGGCGTCACCCAAACGAAAATAAAAAAAAATCATTTAAATCGGTCAAGCCGTTTAGGAGGAGTTCAATGACATACACACGTACAGCAGAATTACATAAAAGAAGATGTACATTAAAATCTCTTTGTAATAATAGTTCCGTATCTAATGATAGCAGTTTAGTTGACGCAAAACCTTACATTTTGCCTATAAAATATGTCGCCAGACAGAAAGTGACAGTGATAAATAATGGTATGTCTACTTTTTATCTCAGGAAGCAGCTGGGATATGACGCAACTATAAACTCCTATAAATTCCCATTAACACGGCTGGCAAAAGCATCAGTAATTTTTGCGAAAAACGATCAAAATTCAATAAGTTCAAAAACTCTTAAGCTAAGACGCTATCCCATTGGCATTTTGAGCAGGTTATTTCAATCTACCCCTAATTTAATTTCATCCCGAATGGATTTCGCTGGCGAAAGAGCGACATAAATATAACCATGAACGTCGTAACTCCTTATGATTAAATTGATACCTCACAGGGATTGGAACGTTTGAAGATCCTTTCTTTTCAAGCTTTACAAACTTTGTTGAATGGCCGTAATAACGTGCCGAGCTCCACCTAATAACAGCTATAAAAATAACTCTGAATCGTTTCCATTCTTTTTTAAAAGAGCGCAGTGCAATGTGATTTCTTAACCGACGACTGTAATGACTAGCGATTGCGACGAGCCACTTCAATGAACGTTGATTTAATTTGAGCGAAGAACGGAGCATCGTAGGAGCCTGATGTAATGCTCAACTAAATAACGCGGACATCTACTCCCCCTCTCCCTCCACGCCCTATGCCCGCAGTACCCACTTGTCCCCTACACCTCCCAGATTAATCTTCCACATGCCTCAATGTCATCTGCTGCAAATGGCACAAAAAGTAAAACGTTAAATATAACAGCAATATGAGATTCTTTGCATTGTAAAAATCCACGTTATTCTGTTAGTTATTACATTATGTAACCTAGACCCAACTCTCTACGAAATGGTTATGAATAGATACTCGTAGGTAGGCGTATTATTATAAACTATATTTTATGTTTTCATTAAAGTTACTTGAAAAAGATTTCGATAAAATCAATGTACCCATTTATCTTATTCCGGGAATTAAACCGGGCCAATTTAGCTCGTCTCCACATTCGCACCGATTTGAATCAACGCCAGACCAATATCCAGCGGAGCGACAAATCAGCACTTCGATATTGCCTCCATTTGGGCACCCACCTCAATATATGAAAATCTGATTTTTCATTGCGCACGCCGAGCGGTACGTACGACCGGTCTCCTCCCGGAAATATTTAATATTAACAACTTTGTCGGTTCTGCGACGTAAAACTTCCAAAGCAAACGCAATTAAACGAACAATTCAAACTTCTTAATAGGCCATTATATCGACTTATCGACTATAGAACGTAGTTTTATGTCATTAATTTTAATTATACAAGTCGGTGCATATTGTGTTTAATTTCTTGCTTTGTTAGTTCTCGCAAGCCGTGCAACATTAGTCAGTACAGTGCGTCAAGTACAGATGGGGTATTGTTGGAACTTGCAGCAAAGCTGGACTGAGCCAGCAATGTGTTTTAAAGTTTGAAATTTTCCTTAACAAGCATATTAAATTTCGTAGCTCGTTAATTTATATCGCTACTTGAAATTGGAGATATTTTAAGAACATCAAGTGTGAATTACTAAGAGCAAAAATATTTTCGATATTGTCGAATATATTCGAGTACAAATTGAACCAATTAAGATTATTTTAATTACATCCGTATCTGTAATTTGGTAGGCAACACGACCGTGGCGTATAGGTTGTACTCCCTCATATTTCACATTCTAATTATTGTTCAGCTCGTGTACAAATTTGTATAAAGCAAACATCGCTTGCGACAACAGCCGTTTGTTTAACATTAATAATATTATGACTCCGGCAATGGGTATGCTAGATTACAAAACTCATTACAGACCTTTGTTATCGCGTTACAAATTATTTAACTACGTTATTCAAATGTTATTATGTATTGTTGAATAGTGTTGTTTAGTTAGCCATAAATCGCTTTAGAAGTGAACGTACAAGCTGTAGGTATTTGCAATTTTGTGCAACTTCGTCTTCATTCTTTCTCAACAGACTGATCAATTACAATACATACCAAATAGACATTGATATCATCAAACGTCAATACCCATAACTAAAGCAAAGTTAAGTGGTTTAAAATGAGGATAAACCGAAGTTTACTCCAGTATTAAAATCACTATTCCTTTACTACAGACACTCGGTTCATGAAATAATTTCAATGAAAACTACAAAATATATACAAAGTTCTTATCATGGCCATTGATCACATCATATCAGCTAGCTAACTTCTGTTTAATATAGGATCAATGACTTTAAGATCGACTGGGTAGGAACGACCCGACGGCTTTATAATTCCTCTGTTTTTTTATTTCTTTAATAACTAAACCAAAAACTACAACAACACTAAACCCTTTATAAAAGATTTATTTATTTTCTTCTTCTATCTACTACATAGGTCAATATTATACGCTAAAAGTTAAAATTAAATGTAAATATATTCCTACACAATCTGCCTAACAGAAAATTAAACCTGCCATATTTTGTCTACCGATGAATCAATCGTTACAGTATAGATGTACAGTTTTAACAGATTTGTACAAATTATACTTCGTTTTTGACGTACAAAACCAAAATAATATATTAATCTCCCACATAAAAGTCCAATAAACATTAACATTTTAATAAATATAAAAACATGTAATACGCTTCGTTGGCCGAGTGATCGCAAGTGTGACGGTAAGGGGTCTCGGGTTCGATTCCCGGATCGGGCAAAGTATTACTGGGTTTTAAAAAAAATCTCAGCAGGAGCCCGGGGAGTCTGGAAATGTGCCCGGTATATAGCAATAGGCGCACCACCTATTACATGAGACTCATAATATAAATAGTGAAAAGTGGGTGTTACATAGTACACAGGCATTAACTCGTCGAGTACCGGTTTTGTAGACACAATTATAGAACAATAGGTTCAAACACCAAGCGGTCACCGGTGACCGCTTGGTGTTTGACAGTTTAAGTGCCGTAATGTGAATCTCTGCCTACCCCTTTGGGGGTAAAGGCGTGATGTTATGTCATGTAATACGCTTTTAAAATCACCAAAATGTTTCAACATTTTATTTGTAAACAGAAATAGTGAATTGAAAAATATATTTCGATTCTCTGTTCACTTTTGTCATCGGTTGTACAGTTCCGATTCGATTCCATTGGGCTCTCATCATTTCAAAGGCACGAATATCGAAACTGTCGTAAGCGGCTTAAAGTGGCTTCCAATCTAGAATGAAGAGCCTTTATGTGTGTCAGTGTACAATAGTTAAATGTATTTATTGTATATGTGTGCGTGCACCTCACCAATACCGATATTATACGAGTACAATCGCTGAACGAAAAGTTCTAGGAATTTTCAAATAAATTCCTTTCTCGTGTCGCGGTAACGTGACACCTCTTACACTCGATACCAACTTTTGAAACAAAATTGTAAGATTGTGTATCACTTTCCAAGGCAAAATGGACCTAAATAATAGTAGATAATAAAATGAATATTCATCGTAACGTAATTATTGATTAGTAGTAACAACCTAGACGAAACCGTAAAAATACCGAACAAAAGCAATAATTTATTTTATACTAATGGCCTATTTTTCTATAGGTACTTATTTAATTCTTTATTATAGAGGTACAATAAAATAGACAATTGATAGATTTTAGTATGCATGAATTGTCAAATATTCTAAATTATTCCTCAGTTACAATGTATTAATGTATTAATTTGGCGTTGGAAAAATCGGCCCTACGAGTCTGACACTCTCCCATCCCATCATCGAATGAACACTCAGCCTCACCCAGGCGGGAGAGGTCATTCGATGATTTTCCCCGTTAAAGTAGTTAAGGTAATTCTAGGGTAGATGGTTTCAATTTCTACTAGTAACAATGGAGTGAAAGAAAAACTTCATTATATAATATCAAGCACCCTCCCCGCATGCCTAAAGAACCTTGTGACCGTAAGCGTGTACGCAAGACCAAAGTTATCAATGAATGCGTGGCTATAAAATAATACATTTTAAAAAGTGGACCATCTATCCTGGACTTATCCTATCTGCGTAAATAATACTTCTGATCTTTCCATTATCATCTTCTTTGCTTCGGGGAAGAATGGTAGTATATTGATCCAGGAGTCCAGGCTCAGCGTTAAGATACTGACCTGTGTAGAACAGATTTCATTATTAAACTAAGAATTTACATTTACCTTTATAACGCTAAGGAACTTAGACCAAATGATGTTATCTATCGCCTGAATACTGAAAGGCTAGTAAATTTAAAATTGTATTTAAATATCGTGCCATCCCTGTCATTGTACCAAGAATTTGTAGAGACAGAACTATACTTAAGTGTGACTTAAAATTTGAATGGCTTTTCAGTATTTGGGTATGAATAGGGGAGTATCCTAAATTGTATTTTAATGTCCGTCTAGTAAACTATTTTAAAATATTTTCTTTTCTTACAATATTAAATACTTTCAACGAAATTTGAAATATTGTGTGACGTCACGATTCACAACATTTTATAGGGTATTGTGACGTAACGACCTACGACGACTCCTAAACTTAACTACGTTTTATAAAAATATTGTTTTCTTGTACGACAAAATAAAAAACATGTGTCTAATATTTTTTCATTATCTAACAACTGTCTACGATCCTGTTGATATTTCTAGTCTTAAAATAAACGTATCGGTATGACAAAAAGCACCTAAGATCGAATGTGATGCAACTTGTTTACTTTTTATCAAACTTTATCACACCGTATAATATACCAAGTCATGTATAATCTATTATTATGATTGAGCAACCTAGAAATACATAAAAACACAGCTAAAACCACATATTACCCCACAACGCAAATAACAGTGAGAAAAATCAAAGATAAGGCAAGAAAAAAAAATTGACTCCTCGTAAAGATAAACAACAACTCACTGGTTAGCTACTAAGTCGACGACTTTGTTAAAACTAATTACAATATACCTAATTTAGATTGTATAATTTGTTAAAATTGAGATTTGTTAAAACTAATGACAATACAAAGCATTGCACCCACCTATTTAACTTTAAGCAAAACTGTACATTTCTAGATCATTATGTTTGAAAATAAAAATTTTATTATTATTATATATTATTATTACCTTTACTTTCTTACCCACATAACAAATACATGCGCCACTTACTTTAGTCTCAGCTCTGTACGAGAAGCAATGCGAGATGCCCCTATTCATGCCCTGCAGTATCCCGAAAACGTCTCCAGGTCCCAGCAGTTCATGTGTGATCTCCGTTAAGTCGGCGCGCACTGACACTACTGAAACAGTTCCTGAAGCCACCCAGTACATGCGTGCCTCGCTGTCGCCTGCCACCACTATGTAGTTTCCTGAGATGAAAAAATTAGCTCTAGAGGTAGTTATCGGTTGAATTATATCTTATGATAGTTTCAAAAGATGGCTAACTTTTCGGTGAGTGAGTATCCTTCGAGGCGGAGGTAGAGAAAGACTTCCGAATGTGTGTTTCTTTCCTCCTTGAAACCACAGGCCCTTCTAATAGACCCCATTGTGCAACATACTATGACTCCCGTAAAACTCACTGTGTATGCGGCACATGGCCACTATACCACCGTCGAAGTATATCACTACACTACAACAACGAACTAGTGTTTAATCTACACTCGGAGTCACGGAGAACCTAACGGGCTACCGGGCCTCCAGCTCGAAGTGCAGGAGTAGGTACGGGGTGGTTTTAGTCAGTAATGCCGGAATACTGAAACGTTACTAAATTTTAAGTCGTGCTTAAAAATCGTGCCATCTCTGTCATTTTACAAAGAATTTGTAAAGACAGTTTTGACAGTAAAGACAACGTTTCAGTATTCGGGCATAAAAGTCTGACACTCCCTCCCGCCTCACCTAGGCGGGAGAAGTCATTCGATGATTTTCACCCCTTTAAAAAAAACTGTGTAACCTACACAGTTTAATAATTAGATATTGAACTATCATTAATGTTTGAATGTGTCTAGTTATCATCACATCCCAAGAGTACTTAATAATAACATTACATCGATCGGAAGATGTAGACAGAGGTGCACATTACGGCAATTAATGCCACTGTACAATGTAACACCCACTTTTGACTATTTATGTTATAATAGGGCGTGAGCCTATTACCAGGTCCATATACGGGACACAATTTTAGACTCCGTGCTACGACTGACATTTTTTTAATGGAATGCAAATGGAATCGAACCAAAGACCCAATTCCCGGCAGTCGCACTTGCGACCACTCGGCTAACGAGGCAGTCAAGTCAGTACTTAGTAATAGAGGTATAAAGTAATTTGGATGCGTAGGTATGAAAATATATGGTGGTAAATCTTTTGACATAGTTCCACAAAAAATAACACTTCTCTCTGAACTGCAATGGCATAGGGAATTTCAGATAGGATTCACATCCATGTTAGTTTTGATTTTCAAACGTAAAAGTTTGCTAAAGTGAATTTGAATACGGAGGTCTCTACGTATGTTAGATGGAAGTACACTGATTTATTATGTTTCGCGAATAAATTTCTTTATCTTCATTGTTTTGATAAGGCATGTAAGTGTTTGCTCAAAAAACGTAGCATTCATTTAGCAATTCGTTGTCGGATTGTTTAGCATATTGTGACTTATGTATTTTAATAATATACATAACATACCATAACGCCTTTTATCCCCGAAGGGGTAGGCAGGGGTGCACATTATGCCTCTGTACAATATAACACCCACATTCAACTATTTATGTTATGAGTCCCATGTAATAGAGGCTGAGCCTATTGCCATATACCGGACACAATTCCAGACTCCGTGCTACTACTGAGAATTTTTTTTAAACCCAGTAATACTTTGCCCGACCCGGGAATCGAACCCGAGACCTCTTACCCCTGCAGTCGCACTTGCAACCACTCAGCTATATAATAATATATTATTATTATATTATAATTTCTGATCATCAATATTTCAATTAACACTAACGGTCTGTGTATTTTTTTAGATCAATGACATTCTTTATTTTTTTTTAATCGTATGTATCGTTTTAATCATTAGAATATTAATCGATTTGAGAATAATGGCGTATACAGTCATTTTTTAAATTATTTGTAAATTCACCCAGACATAAAAAAAACATCATAATGTGGATAAATATAATGTTGCTTACCAGGGAAGAATATAGTGTAATCAAGAGCAACAGTGAGCTGTCGTAGCAATGACTCCCCAGTTTCAGCGAATATGTAGCAGTTCCTCAAGTGATGCCCAAACATAGCTGACATCAGGTCACACCGTCGTACGTAAGGAGTTTGTGATATGAGGAGAGGCAGCTGTTATAGTAAATAGGTATAATTATAGAACATGCTGTTTGTCTAAAAATGTTAAAGTTTATTCGAAGAATGTTGCAAATAAATAAAAAAAAAACTTTACCTGTCTCCCACGCTCCGTGACCCAAAGCTGCTGGATGTACTTCCAAAACTTTTGTAGTTGATAATCTAAAATACCATATAGTGAGTTTAATAATCAGTGGAAACATGCAGTCTTATCGCTACTGTATTTTAGTCGTGTCACTATTTTATATTTATTTCAGTTACCAGAATTAGATCACACAACTACAGTAAGCATAAAACATATAATCAAAGAAGAATGAACATATGTGTAACAAACAACTACAGATAACTACAGCATTCACTGATGCAAATATGTACCTATATATAATAAAAAGTTCTTAATTACTATCTTAAAATCAACTTGCATCAAATATCTACATGGATTGGATAATATGCATTTAAATACATTGGAACGGAACCTACCAAGTGAGTCCAAAATATTTATTCAAGGCTTGACTCAGACTTGGTAGGGGTGAGTTTGCTACTATTATTAACTCACAGTTATTCTCGACTTATAAAGAGATCCTTAAAAACTGGTTTGCTTATACAAAGACTTCTGAGACTAGAATAGTCATAAATGATGTTTACGCTAAACACCTACCAGACAATCCTTGATTCTTCAACATGTCGATAAGTTCCCTGGTAGCTTTCTCATACGCTGTCAGAGCATATTTGGTGGAGTACGCCAGCTGGATGGAAGCAGCCACGACAATAGCCGCCAACATCTTCCCACAAACTAGTACAACGGCCAGGATACTCATTGGAAGCTTCTCGTCGACTACAAACTCGTCACTACCAGTTGTGGTCAGTTGGGCCACGATCACATAAATTGAAGTGACGTAATCCCAGCGAATTTGTGGCGTCTCTCTGTGAATCGGATTATTTCGGTCTCTAGTTTGGATTTAGAATACAATCATGGTGATCTATTTCTGTAGATTTGTTAATAGTTAGTTATAAAATGCAAGTAATATTACATTTGATATAGAAGAAGTAGACATACTGAATACAGGGATAGTCGCCGGTTTGTGTGTCCATTACATTTAGATTAAAGTTGTCTAAAGGGCCTCTGCGCAGTTGGCTTCGGCCCCTCGTACGCCTCCCTAATGACCGGGACCCTGTGGTCCCGTGAATGGTAAAGACATACATAATAGGAAAAAAACACATACACAACCATGCAGAAAGCCGCAATTCTGAACACTTGCCGTATTGTTAGGAATTTTTTGCAAGAAGAAACCACCAAACTAGTACCTCATGTATTTCACTTGGTTTAGGCCCTTTCGAGAAAAAGGGAATACCTTAGAATAATAATAATAGTGAAGGAAACAAATATATTGCTAAAAATTGAACACAATTTTGAACTCCATGTTATTACTAAGTAGTGAATACAAGCAGTCGCTGCTGCGATTATCTACCAGGTTTTCGACCATATCTATTTTCGATAGCAAGCATGAACTTTAAATTGGGTCTGATATGCCTGATATTTGACCAATAGATTCTGTTCTTTTTCTTTATTTACATACATGGTTATGTGTATGGGAGAACTATGCTTCGGCATGAGTGAGCCGGCTCGACCGCAGTGATATCACGGCCGAGCAGAAGACTGACGTGAAACAACACTTGCGTTGTGTTTCGTCGTGTAAATGAGGTTACCGGAGGCCCAATTATCTTCCCATTCCTTGAATCCCAAACAATACTCAAGTTCCTAATCTCCAAAAGGCCAGTAACGCATGTCCATGGGCGACGCCGATTACGTACCGGTGATGCCTTAGCATATTTACCGGCTTATCCCATAAAAAATACATGGTTTAAAAAAAACTTACGTATCAATAATGTGTATCTTCAAGGTCCGTATGATGCCGACAGGAGAGGTGCCAATCATTGCGAGCAGCCACACACAAGCGAAAGTGTGTATCATTATCACCACGCCTATTACAGTCATCACCGCCTGCACATTATTATTTTACAGTTAACTAGGCATATTATTTTACAGTGAACTAGGCATATTATTTTACAGTGAACTAGGCATATTATTTTAAAGTGGACTAGGCATATTATTTTAAAGTAAACTAGGCATATTATTTTACAGTGAACTAAGTAAATTATTTTACAGTGAACTAGGCATATTATTTTACAGTGAACTTGGCAAATTATTTTACAGTGAACTAGGCATATTATTTTACAGTGAACTAGGCATATTATTTTACAGTGAACTATGCGTGGGTACCCACTGATAGGTAAGAAGTCGGTGAAATGACTGATGATGAAGATGACAAGAAGAATTACTTATATTTTATCGGTTAAGGTATTGTTACACTAAGCTAATCTCAAGTACGAAGGCATGCGTCAATTGTGCACTTCACATTGCTACTCATTTCGGGTATGCTTGCGAATCGTTAGGCGTTCGATTTTTGAATAGGACGCCTTTTGGCATGCTATTTTAGATAGAGCATGTGAAATGATACCTTTAGTCTATTAAGAGTATTAGGTAAGTACCTGTAACATAGTCAGATTGTTAGTAAGTTCTCGAGAAGTGGTGCGGTAGAACTCAATCAGATACTTCAGTCTGAGCAGCTTGGTTGCACGCAGGTAATGCATAGCTCTGATAGGATTCCTATAAAATAATTACACGGGTCTATTACATAACATCACGTCCATATTACGGCACTTAATGCCACTGTACAACGTAACACCCACTTTTCACCATTTATGTGATGAGTCCCTAACCTATTACTATGCCATATTCCGGGCACAATTTAGACTCCGTGCTACTACTGACAATTAAAAAAAAAACACTAGTGATACTTTGTCCGATGCGAAAATCAAACCCCTTTGCCGTCAGTCGCACTTGCAACCACTCGGCCACCGAGGCAGTTACGAAGCAAAATGTGTAAATAAAAAAAGTTCTTAATTATTATCTTTAAATTTAATTTTACAATAAATTATCAAATTATATCAAGTTTCTACCCTCTGCCCGGCAGTCGCACTCGCAACCACTCGCCCAACGAGGCAGTGAGTCTATTAATAACGAAATATTTATTTCGATGTAATATAGAACGTACTAAATTAATTTATGTAGATAACATACAGAGGTGTTATATATTAACATTTAGAATACTTTTTTCATATACCTAATAACTACGTGGGCGAGTTCGTGGGTATAAAGTAACATAACATGAGACAATATCCAAAATAGACTTTCACCTATCAACAATAAAATACATTTCTTAATAATATTTTCAAATAATAATTACTTAATAATATTTTCAAATAATAATAATAATGACTGCCTCTCGTGAGACATACTAAATTAAGTAAAAACGCGGGTTACTCACGTGAATATACTGAGAAAAGCTCTACTAGTTTCGAACCACAGAGGGGTTCTTCCTCATGAGCAGCGTGCGCGGTCGCGGCGACGTCGCGCAGCTCACTGGCTGGCGTTGGCGCTCGTCTCGGTGTTGCCACCTGCGCTGCGAGCCCAACGCGCCCTCTGTCGGACACTACGAGCGTTTGCTTCCAACTCCGGCAGCGCGTTGGACGAAGCTAAAGCGCACGGTACGTTCACCAGCGGCGCGGGTCGTGGGTTCGATTCCGGGTTCGGCACAAAGTCAGTGTTGCATATAACGCTTACTGTGTCACACTCCAGACTGGAGACGCTGTGGATCGACGAAGACTCCAAGCTCGGCTTCCACGCGGGTGGCAGTGCCCAGCCACCATCCCTGTTGAAGCACGGTCGTCGGCTGATCTCGATGGCCTCTCGCACTTTTCGCGGAACGAAGTATTTTTCTCTCGCTAGTACGGAGACCTTATCAAAACGTATGAAGTGAGCCGCGTCCGTACCACAAACATGTTCAGCCACTGCCGATGCCTGGATGTCCATCTTCTTCACGCTGCGTATATGTTCCTTTAGCCTGGTTGTGATGTTGCGACGAGTTTCCCCGATGTAACTCGAGCCACAGTCGCACGGTATTATGTACACTCCGGGTACAGCCAGTGGATCCTTATCTTTAGGTGAGCGTAGTAGTTGTCTTAGCTGACCGGGTGGGCGGAAGATCGTCCTGATGCAGTATTTACGGCGAAGCAGGTGTCCGATTCTGTCGGTTACTCCTTTCACGTATGGTAAGAACGCTGGAGTCCGTTCCGCAACTGCCGGTCGCTTCCTACTCGAGCTGCTCGCAAGTCGAGTACATTGACGCCAGTTGTATCCATTGTTTTCCAGTACCCGTTTTAAGTGGTGAAATTCGTCGTCAATATACTGGGGATCGCATAGACTCAGCGCCCGGTTTATCAAGGTCCGGGGAACAGCGGCTAGATGGGAGGGATGATGGTGTGAGTCAGCTCGCAAGTACCGGTCCGTGTGTGTCGGTTTACGATACACTGTGTGTGACAATCGACCATTTTCTTCTCGTCTTACGAGGACATCCAAGAACGGCAACATCCCTTCTCTCTCTTCTTCAGTGGTGAATTGTATACTGCCGTGCACCGAGTTCAAGTGTCCCACAAATTCAGCCACATGTTCCCGGTTGACGATCGCGAACACGTCATCAACATACCTCCACCAATGTCGCGGTCGTACCGGGGCGGATGCCAAGGCCTGACCCTCAAACCACTCCATGTAGATGTTAGCCACCACCGG